AATTTTCTTTTAGTTGTAATCATGTTTAAGTTGGTCATTTGGTTGTAATCTTGTTGAGTGATTGTAATGATGATGGAATTGTGATCTATCTTTAGACAACATGGATAGCCTATAAGGCATGCCTCGGTTGAGTGTGGTCTACGACCATATTTGCATCCCTTAGCGGTTAGCGACACCATGCCCATAGCAATCATTTCAGTTCACATACCATGGTAGTAGTTAGGGGGATGCGACACCGGAACATTGAAAGATGCTCACATGCCCAAAGCTGGAGGATAAACATCGCACCACCAGCTTGATTTGCTCCCATCTTCGAGCAAGTACAGCTCCCTATATACCCCAGCTAACACATCTGAACCCCAACTCTTTGTCCCGATCGTGTCCCATTCACCGAGTAGAAATGGCAACCACATGTCTTAAATCCACCTTTTTGCCTTGTCAGGGAACAGAAATCCACTAGCCAAGCCAATGAGGTAGACGCGTGCATACCGCTCCACTTGATCTTCCGGAGTGTTTGGGCCGATTTCATCCTCATCTTGGATGGGAGTAACGAGCCACGGGATCGATAATTGTCCTAAATTCAACGGTGGATGCCAGCGTCCTTGGACTAGAGTGATGGTCGGCATGTCGAAGCCCAAACTATCAAGAATCAGCGGCCCTCAGCCTGCTTCAAGTTCGGTCGAGTGACCAATGATGGCCTCTCCAGTGATCGGCAGCCCGGTGGGGATGGCAACGTCTTTGAGGGTAATCGTCATTCCCCCCTCCGGAAAGTGGAACGTATGGGTTTCAGGGCGCATTGCTCTGCAATTGCCGTCAGCAGATCGTTGTCGATCTCAACCTGTCCTCTCTAGATATGGCGAGAGTCGATCATGCTAAGTTTGCGACCCTCTATGAATGACGGGAAGAAGTGATCCTACAAAAAAAATCAAAAAACATCAAGTTGTTAGTCAAAGGAAAGCAAAATAAAACCTTTTAAAATAATGAAATAATTTTAAAAAATAATAAGGTACGTAGTGTTTACCGGATTATTGTGACAAATTGCACGCGAGCGATGTGTTTCTTGCTCGGATAAATACTTCGTATCTCTTGGCCCATAATGGATATACAATCGAGAATCGTATATCTCGACACCTATCTATAAAAAAATTTGAATGAAATTAGATTTTTTCGATTACAAAAAAAATCACAAAAGGATTACCTAGAACGTAATCGAAGTGCCTCTTCCTCCATTTGGGCGGAAGCCGGACAGAGGTTCAACGGATTTTTAGAGGGGAGGGCTTTATGATTTAACTCTAGGAATTCTTTCTGATGTGGAAGATTGGACTTAGCCGCAACTACAGAGCATACTTAGAATGAAACTGGAGTGGAGGGGGGAGAAAGAAGAGTAGTGTGGTGGTGTGATTTAGAATAGGGGAGAAGGGTGGTATTTATAGAGGAAGGGGACTGCTGGAAACAAACACAGCGAAATCATCGCCTTTGTCTAATGCAGGGAAGACCCCGCATTTTTCGAACGCGATGAACTATGCCGTCTATGCGGATAGCTGACGTGGGAGGCTCTGAGGCATCAGATCTTGGAGGAAAACCGGAATATGCGCCTCACTGCATCCGACGGTACCGCGGAAGGGGCAAGGCGACGGGGATCACTGATGTAGACAGCAGGGCATTCCCTGCGTTTGTCCACAGCAGTGAATGCCCTGCGTTCGTCCTCGTCAGCGATCCACGTAGGAGAGCCTTTCACCGCAGCCTTCAGATGTAGTGAAATATTCCCTTATGTAAACGAACACGGTGAATTCTTCCCCTCGTTTTATTAAAATGGTCATGCATTCACCGTTTTTGTTTAAAGCGATGATTGCTTCACTGTTATTGTCTTCAACGGTTATTATATTCACTCCGTTAGATGACGATGGTGAATGTCAAACATGTATACTTCGAAATTTTTTTTATAACTTACGTATTTTGAGAATATTTTTTAACAACTAGTGTATATTGAGATTTTTCCCCCCTAACACACCCCATCTGCCGAACAACCACTTGTACAAAATATTATAAAGAATGTCAATGAATATGTTTTGCCACGCCAACCCCTCCTGTATAACCCGCACACTTCTAAGGGGCGTTCTTGTAACTTCCTTAATCCTCCTCTCTCACCATCTGCCTCCCCAAGCAAGTACCAATTCCAAACCCTCCCGGAAATCTAATCGCAGCCCTTGCCAACGGGTGAAGATACGTAACCATTGGTTAGTGACATATAAGTAACTAAATCTGGACCTTTTGATCTAAGTGAGCTCAAAAATTCCATATCTAAGGGTTGGGAATCAAAGACATTTTATTTTACTTAGTTTGTTAATCGGCTCTATCTTTTTCGTTCTAACTCGGATTTCAATTTTTTTTTGCATAGATGGAATGAGTTCGTTGTTCTCTACAAAATGAGATCAATTTTTAATTTTTTGAGAATTTTTTTTTTCATACATCCCGTTACCAACTCCGTACCATATGGTAACTTCTTTGTTTAAAAGTCGTTTTTTAAAATATTTGCTCAGAAGGAACGAGTTCATCATGATCTATTGGATCTAAAAATTTCAGGGTGAAAAAGTACAAGGCCAAAAATTACCATACTTTACCACTCTGGTATGGGGGTGGTAACTTGTGGTAAACAATGAAAATATTCGTAAATGACAGTTAGTATACTCCTACTATCATGTATTCAATCTTCCTATAGTCTTAGTATGTTCATACCATCATGGTATGCTTTCTTACCATATGATATGCAGCTATTTAATACCATATGGTATTTACTGGTAAAAAATGCCTCAATTTTTTTGTTATAAAAATATATCAAAGTGGATATCATTTTAAAGAGCACAATTAATCTGATTTATCTGTACCAAAAATTTAAATTCTGACTTAAAACGAGAGAGAAATCGTCTGTTATTAATATGGAAAATATAAAAGGCTTTCCATTAAAGGGAGGGATGCTGATGTGGACGGGTTACTCATTCTAAGATTACTAACCTGATCCGCTCTCTTGCCAACTGCACCCGGCGCCGTCAAGCAAACTATTATTCTCTATCGAAAAATTTCCCTAGGTATTCGGGAGCAGCAAGATCATTCCTGGCTCTTCCATTTTCTCATGGGCCTTGACAATGTCCTATCCTCTGTTCAAACTCAGGTTCTCGCCATGAAACCGACTCCCAGCCTCTCAGAAGCTTTCAATATCTCTCTCAACGAGGAGCAGTAGCATTTGATTTCTCAAAGCCGCAAACCCATTAGCGAGGCAGCGGTGTTCGCCGCTCAAGGGGATGGCGACAAGAATCAGCGCAATCCTAGAGAAAAGGAGCGCGACCAGTGCACTCATTGCCTGAAAATTGGCCACCTGTGCGAGACTTGCTGGGAACTAATTGGCTACTCACTGCGTGACCGAGCTGCCCGCGGCGACCGAGGTGACTGCGGCGAACGACCTGACCAACGCGGTTATTGGGACTCCCAGCAGCATCATCATCCTACGGCTGGTGGGGATGGCATTCCTTGTGATCGTGGTCCCAAGACTGCACAAGCCGAGCACGACAAAGGGAAAAGTCTCATTGCTGGCTTCACCGCAGCCCAACTTGAACAACTAAAGGAATTCTTCGGGTATTTAGCACAGGGTGCTGCGACCACTCTGCACATTCGGCAGGTACGATTTCTTTTACTAGTGAATGGTTGCTCGACTCAGGTTGCAACGAGCATATCACAATGGATAAAAATTTATTATCTGATAAAGTATTCATGGATAATGGCCATCCTGTTAAGATTCCAAATGGTACGAGTGTTCCTGTTCGCCAAATTAGCAATGTGGTTTTGACACCTGCGGTTTCTCTTACTCGGGTTTTACATGTTCCGGAATTTCGGTGTAACCTGGTCTCGGTTAGTCGGTTCACTAATGAGAATCATGCTGCACTAATATTTCTGGATGGTTTCTGCGTTATTCGGGACTTACTCTCCAAGAAATTGATTAGGAAGGGTGAGTTGCGCGATGGCCTCTACTATTTGCGTCTCTTTGGTACTGGACGCGCAGCAGCTCATATGGTTGATGGTGGATGCAAGATTTTGGAGGATGTTTGGCTTGCTCGACTCGGCCATCCTTCTCATGCCAAACTCGAGCGGCTTAGTCCCATTTCTCCTATTTCTTTTTGTTCAAATAAGGAACTATGTCATCCTTGTTCTTGTGCTAAACAGAGTCGTACACCTTTTCCTACTCGTGGTATTCGGACAAAGGCTTGTTTTGATTTGATTCATGTTGAAATTTGGGGCGGCTATAACATTGCTTCTATGAGTGGTGCATACTATTTCCTTACGTTCGTTGATGATTTCAGTCGCGGGACATGGGTATATCTTCTTCGTTATAAATCTGAGGTGGGTAGATACTTGATGATGATTATTCACTAGGTTCGGACGCAGTTTGGTGCTCCAGTTCGCCGAATTCAGGCTGATAATGGCCTGGAATTTAATACTCAGGTTCTTCAGCAATTCTATGACGCGGAAGGCATTGTTCTGCAAACCTCCTGCACTGACACACCCTAGCAGAATGGCATAGTGGAACGGAAACACCGGCACCTCCTCGACATAGCTCGTGCTCTCTGATTTTAAGCTAGTCTCCCTCTTCATTTCTGGGGTGAGTGTGTACTCAATGCTGCTTACCTCATTAATCGTCTTCCCACAACTGCAACTGGGCGCACTCCATTTGAGTTACTTTTTGATAATCCTGCTCCGTACTCGCACTTGAGGATCTTAGGCTGCCTTGTGCATTACAAGGACACACATGCCCATCTTGATAAGTTCAGTGAACGGGGCCGTGCTTGCATCTTTCTCTGTTACGCTTCCAGTCAAAAGGGATATCGGCTGTGCTTGCATCTTTCTCTGTTATGCTTCCAGTCAAAAGGTGTCGGCTATATGACTTGAACTCGCGCAAACTTTTTACTTCTCGTGACGTTGTTTTCCACGAGCATATTTTCTATTTCGCCATGATCATGCGCGTGAGCTTTATTGGTTACCTCGGCCTCCTACAGATGCCCCAGCTCGTGATGAATCCAAGCCTCTTGATGAAGCCGAGCCTCTTGGCGATGCCTCTCCAGACCAGGTTTTGGTGGACTCTCCCGCAACCTCTCCTTTCACAGTTGTCGACTCAACCATTCATGGGTCTCCTCCTAGAGCTTCGTCCTCCTCTGTTGCCACGGACAGCCCTGTTGCCTCCGATGAGTCTCTGTGTTCTTCTCCCACACCACCACCTCTGGTGTCTCCTCGTCACGGTGATTGCGTTCGAAGTCATCATAAGCACCTCGACTTAAAAATGATGCTTCTGCCATTCCGGGACATGCCTCTGCTCCTCAAAGTCACATGTCTGAAGCTAACTACCCTCTCTCCAATTTTGTGTCTTATGATGGTGTAGCTTCCACTTACCAAGCTTTCTTAGCTGCTGTCAGCTCCCATGATACTCCACGTTCTTTTTTTGTAGGCCATGCAAGATCCCCGTTGGTGTGACGCCATGATCGCCAAAATTCGAGCTCTTGAGCTCTATGGGACCTGGTCTCTCGTCGAAGTACCTCCTAGGAAACGGGCCATTTCCCTGAAATGGGTCTATAAAATCAAGTTCTTGGCTGATGGGTTTATCGAGCGTTTCAAGGCTCATTTAGTCTCCAAAGGTTATACGCAGATTGAAGGCATTGATTTTCATGATACTTTTGCCCCGGTGGCGAAATTGGTTACTGTTCGCTGTCTTCTTGCCGTTGCAGTTAGTCGGGGTTGTCATCTTCATCAGCTCGACGTCAACAATGCTTTCCTACATGGGGATCTTGAGGAAGAATTCTACATGCGTATCCCGCAAGGTTTCGCTCAACCTGGTGATACTCGTGTGTGCAAGTTGCACAAGTCTCTCTATGGTCTTCGCCAGGCTTCCAAAATTGGTATCATAAGTTCACTGTTGCTCTTGGTCACCTTGGTTTTCGTGCTTCTCCTGCGGATCATTCTCTGTTTATTCACCGTCGGGGGAGCACCTTCGTGGTTGCCTTGATTTATGTGGATGACGTCCTCCTCACCGGGAATGATATTTCCTTCATTACTAAGGTCAAACGGTCTCTTGATGCTTAGTTCAGGATTAAGGATCTCAGGCAACTGTGCTATTTTCTTGGTATGGAATTTTCTCGCACTTCTGATGGTGTTGGTATTTGTCAACTCAAGTAAGCATTGGATATTCTCAGTGATGCCATGGTTACGGGCAGACGCCCTAGTGCATTTCCGGTCGAGCAGAACCACCATCTCACCCGTCCGCCTGTCGATGGGGATATTCTTGCTAATCCTTCTGCCTCTTGCCACCTCGTTGGTTGGCTCCTCTACTTGACTATGACTCGTCCAGATCTCACTTATGGGGTGAATATCCTGAGTCAACTGTTGTTCGAGTTCTGCGTTATCTAGAGACCACTCCTGCTTAAGGTCTTTTTTATCCTGCCGACAATGATCTCTCTCTTGTCGCCTATTGTGATGTCGGTTGGGGTGGTTGTGAATGCACTCGTCGTTCTACCATCGATTATTTTATCATTTTGGGTGGCGTCCCGATCTCTTGGCACACCAAGAAGCAACGCGTCGTTGCTCGCTATTCCACCAAGGAGGAATATAGGGCCATGGCTAGTACTATTAGCGAGGTTCTCTGGATTCGTTGGCTCTTACACGAGCAGGGTGTTTCGCAGTCTGGCCCCGCTCCCCTTTATTGTGATAATTAGGCGGCCCTCCATATTTGTGCTAATCCTGTCTTTCACAAGCGCACAAAACACGTGGAGATGGATTGTTACTTCGTTCGTGAGCGTGTTCAGTCTGGTGATATTCGTCCTCTCGAGGTCAGTTCTCATCTTCAGCTCGCGGACATCTTCACTAAAGGTCTTGGAGCTGATCGTTTTCGGTTTCTGCTGTCCAAACTGTACGTTTGTAACCTTCACGCTCCAGCTTGCGGGAAAGTATTGGACCGAGCTTCCCCCGCCCAGCATTCTCGGCCAATGGACAGTCCGCATGAAGGCCATGCAACGAGTGAGCAACACTCGTTCGACGACGAGAGTAAAACCCTAGTGACTTATTGTAGCAAAGGGTATATATGTTTATGTAATTCTAGGCTTCGGCCAACACATTGATTAGGGAATAACAGCTGCAGCTGGAAAGCTTCAACTCTCTCGTGGATTAGTCTCGATCAACCACCATTGATCGAAGATACCACGTTAATTTGGTGTCATTCGTTTTACTTATTTTATAAGAAAAGAATGTCCACAATCACAAAAATGGAAACTCCCAAATCGCATTACTCTGTTTTCCATTGCATTCACCGAGGTAAGGGTGGAGAACACGAGGCAAATGCAACCCATTTACTCTTTCACGATAGTTGACACGCATGATGAGGAGGTCTAAGGAGATAAAGTCAAGTTTTCAATTGGGTAATTCTTTCAGGGGAGGAGTTCATTTGTCCACACTGTTGTGGAAATTGTTCACGTATACTATTTTCTTGCAACACAAGCAAACACATAAGATTAAGAAAACATGCAAAGACACATGCAAGCGTCCTAGCCGATAGAATTCACTATCTCTCCTTAAAGAATCTTATTCCCCTCTAGTACCCAAGGTTATGGAATGATTCCTCCCAAGATATAAAGGACGTACCTTTTCCGGCGTAGCGGTACCTCAAACTCCGGAAACCATCGAACGCAGTGAACCGGGCAAAACCACACTTGACTCTATTTTCTCTTTGAAAAGAATGGAGAAAACTAGTTTTCAATTTTTGGCAGAATTTTGGTACCGAAAAAAACGTGTATTTTTCATCATCAAAACTAGAGGGGGGTATGGTGCTATTTATGGAGAATGAAGGGGTGCTTACGAAGGGAGGCAACTCTTCATATGGGTGGTTACACCCCAACCATTGCATTGGTTCGTTTAAATTATTTTAACCATTGCATTGGTTCGGCCTCATGGAAGTTAGACCGTTTGGTCATTACAACTGCCATATCGGTTTGGTTCGATTTGGTTCAACTCGATTTGGTTAATTTGGTTACACAAACCAATTTAACCAATTAACCACATATTACATCAAATCGATCGAATTCGAGGCCGTGCCTTTCCACATCTTACCAACATGGTACTTCAAGAGACTCTCTTGGAACTTTCCCCTTTCATTTCCATTCACACCACTAAAAAACCCAAAAATTCCCCACATTAATAGAGAATGTTTTACTTTTAAAACTATGCAAAAAATCGTGTGATTCTCGACTAAGAATTAGTTGCATCGGAATAGGTAGGTTTCCCTTTGAGCCTTCCTTAGTGAACATATATCGAGTATACTCACCAATTGGTAGATGTGATATATTTGAACCGTCGGTTTTGCTTGTATACTAAGACAACATATGTCACACAGCTAACTCTTATCCGTTCACTGGTTCTCATTGTTGTGTTCGTTTTAGCCATGAACACCGCCTGGTCTCATTAGTGCTTAGAGAACTGGCCTTCTTTTATTCTCCTTGAAGCGGCTCCACTTCCACTCACATAGGTGATATCTAAACGTGTATTCCGAAAATACACTATTTGATCACACCACGTGTCAAACATAGAAACCATTAAAAACCTTTCATATTTAGGTTTACCCTTTTTTTGGACATTGTCTCATCATGAGAATGGACATTGAATAATTTGACAATGCGGACCATCATTCACAACTTTGTATGCTCCTTGAACCTAGAGGTTGGGTCTGCCAATCCTACTTAGGTAGAGTTACCGCCATGATGATTTGTCCTAGGCCACGAGTCCATTCCCTTCGATGATTTAATTAATTTATAGGCGGGCCCCACATTTGTTATCATTTGATCAAAACTGATAATCTCCGATAACTTCACTAGAAATTAACCAGTCAATAATGTTATGTTTCTACGACGAGATTTTTCACATAACACTTCTAGCCCTTGCAATACCATTTTGTACACAAGTGCGTTTATTAACGCCAGTCTATGCGGGCCAGACTATTAAACTTCGCCGGTCTTAGAGTGGGTATATATTTAACTTGGACATTCCAAGACACTACTTCCCATTAACCATAAATCCACATCCATCAATGGATTATACCTTGTGGTTCATTCGGTAAGTTCCTTTGGGTATAATACACCAAGACTCGCCTCTTTCGATTCACTACACATCATGTGTGTTTGCCTTGATTTTATTTCCTTGCAATAATCATAACACATGATCAAGGTTCCGAAGTTTCTCCACTTCATTGACCTTAGAATACTTGAGCTTCACAAGTATCTCTTTCAACGAAGTATCACTTTCACTTCATTGACCTTAGAATACTTGACCTTAGTGATTTTTATTTCTTGGCTTAGGGTTTAGATAAAACTCCTAAGTATCACTTTCACTTCACCTTGGAACCACCCAAGTGACATTCCACATCACTTCTCCCCAATTTATCCCCCACATTTCAACTATTTCTCCATAGTTGTTGAAACTTAATGTTTACGGCATGGGGAATGTTGTCCATATACATTCATGTATATGGTCGACGTTATTTACCCTTTGGGAAGAGTGGATCAACATTTCTAAGAAATCTTCTTTGGATTTCTCAAACTAGCTCTCTAACATAACTATCAACATATGATAGATTTTACTCATAAGTTAACCCTTGAACTTGGTTAACTCCACACGGTATATGGACTTGCTCTTTCTCACTGTACACCTTCATACTTTGAAGTATGACTTGTTTCACCTTCCCATTTTTGTCTTATGGATAGGTTTACATCTCATTGTAGGGTCTTGCGATAGTAGCCGAAACAATGGCTAGCTCTTCTCCCCCACAATTCTACCCTTTGCCAAACATCATGGAATAATTCCATTTATTTTCCATGGTTTTACTTATTGAACTTGCCAACCAATATATGTATATAATTTTTTTCCAATGGTATGATCTCGCTCGATTAGCATACCACAAACAATTCAAATTTTATTAGAAATATCATCTAATTACTTACCAATGGTATTGACCAAGGTAACTTGAGACGTCATAAGTAATTCAGATGCATTCCAGTAATGGAAATCCCATCTAATTACTTACCAATGACATTTCATTTTTGTAGCATGATATACCGCAAGTAATTCAAATGAATTTCTAATTCAATTGTCTAATTAATTTTCCAATGGTATAAACTTCATAAATATACCATAAGTAATCCAGACTTTAAGTTCAATAAGATCATCTCAATTTATCTCTCATGCCAAATTGTTTTGCAATGATATATATCTAGGGTTATAGGTATAAAATGCCCTTCTATTA